AGCATCTCGTACCAGATGGTTGTACAAAGGTGTAGCACTTGGTTAACAATTCATTGCATGCCTTTGTCTGAGGAATGGATGGATGTAGGAATGAATGGACGAGAGTTCTGACGTCAGTGCCTTTTTCCAGGGGACCTATTCGAGAAGTTGGAGGATGAGGATGAGCAAGGCTGGTGCAAGGGTCGGAAGGACGGCCGTGTTGGTCTCTATCCCGCCAATTACGTTGAGGTTGTTTGAAGTGGTCATTTAGGAGGAAGACAGCACCTCATATGCCCTCGAAACCAGAGAGAGAGAGAGAGAGAGAGAGATATTTGATGTCACCAACACCTTGCAATTGTGATGCCTCTCCCTTCCATCCCCTCTCTCTCTCGTCTTAATCTCATTCCACCGCGCGTAGAACAGATGAGAACTTGTGACAGACACATGACCCTGTGTCGGCCCTTTTGTCTGTCCCACTCTTCTTCCTCCTTCTCTATCACCTTTTTGCTTACTGCGCCCGTCTCTCTCGCTCTCTCTCTCTCGCCCTCTCCTTCGCTCCCTCCTCCTTATCTCTTCCACTCACCTTCTGGTACACTTAGACGCCATCAACACCACTTCCACTTCAATTTCTCCACCTAGCAACTATTGTCCCCTGTGCCCTCCTCCTTCTCCTCTTCATTCACCTTCTCACTCCCTTCACATATACATAATATCTCGCGTGCAAGATGGCACAGCTACTACTGCAGAACAGCATTGCTCGCGACACACCTCTTAACGGTAAATTTAATGCTGAAAATGAATAATAAAAGAATGTCACTTTTTCAAATCTTTAGGTGTGGCATTTTTGTCGCTTTGTTGTGGAAGGAGGGGGGGGGGGGCCAAGGGGCCGGGAGTGCTTGTGCAAAGTGTCTGGCGAATCGATGTGTGTGTGTGTGTATGTGTGTGGATGCTTGGATGGCTGGAAGTTGACCATTTGGAAGATGGTGAATTCAGACGATCCACTGATATCGCTTTGAACCATGCTGTCATCGATGCGTGATAGTTTGTGATACCTTGGTGAAATTATTGAAAAGAAAAAGAAAAGTGGCAGAGTCTTCTTACTCCTGTGACCAAAGGAGTGGGAGAATTGAGGAGATGGGAGGAAGATTCTCTCCTCCAAACGCGTTTTGCATAATTGGCTTTGGTCTGTGCTCGTGCGATTCCCTGGCTAGGATCATTATGCCATTAAAGAGTATGGTGAAGGAGCGTCATTTGTCTCTCAATCGCGATTTTGCAATTATTTTGTCCACTTTTTGAGGATGAGAGGAGTGAGAATGGAGGATGGATGACCCACTGAAGTAACCAATCAGACGCGTCCGTCTCCTCCACTCTCATTGGCTGCCTTGCATGTCGTAAACTTTACTTTTTCTCTCGTTTGCTTTTCATTGAATCATGTGTAACAAATGAATGAGCGCCTCCTATCACTTAAACTGCTCCGGAAACCGGCAGCAATTTAATTATGTATGCAGTACAGTCAATGCAGTCAAGTCGGCAATTGATAACAGAGTTGGTACGCGTGCCCTCAATCCCCTTGCATCTGTTGTCAGTCCAATAATTTAAACCTAAACAATCAGACATTTGTTTGTACAAGCTCAAGGCAAACAGTCGGTGTGGTGGGCAAGATTTTGGAAAGTCATTGTCAAAATTTGTTACTCGCTCTACTGTCGCATTATGTCATTGAAGTTGCAAGCCTGCAGTCCTGCCGACTCCACTTCATCACCCTATTCCTATTCCTTAATGCTCAAGGAGAGCAATGTCTTCCCATAACTGACGTTCTTCCGCATATTGCATGAATAACTCTTTGGTTCTCAGCCTTCATGTCTCATATTTGATAGATGAGAAGTAAACACATTTTTGTGCAATTCTTACAACTCACATCACTTCCAATCATGTAGCTGATGGCTCTATTGGCGAGTAATTGCAGTATCACTACTGTAGTGTGCCAACAGACGTACTCGATACAACAAAGTGGAATTGGAGTGCTCAAAGGAAACTGCATCTTGCTAGGTGGCAGAAGTGTGTCAGTTTGTCAGTCGGCGGGGTCGTCCTCCAAGTCCAACGGCATTCGCTGTCTCCCTGTTCTGCCTATTGGTAGGCAAAGGAGGAGCAGACGACTCACATCCATTGACACATGGTAGACAAGAACTCGCATCCTTTTTCCTGATTGGTCGGTCGTTATCTTTTCTGGCATCAGGACGGAGCATAGCTTAGCCACCTCTACACAAGGGGCCAGTGTGTGTTGACGGAGGCATCGCCTACCCACTTGGACACGTTGTCTTAATTGCACCCACGAGCTACTCTCACCAGGGAATTTATGCTGTTGGCGTGACACCCAGTCTGAAGTCGCCTCGATGCTATTCGCGTTCTTTCAGGTGCCTCAAAGCCATGCTCTTTTATTTTGCAGCTCACGCATACTTCTGAGGTATGTTTGTGTGTACTCACGATGACTTTCTTAAGGCATTTAAAGAGTCTTCTTGTGACTTTTAACACATACCCTCTCCGTGAGGAGAAAATCGAAGCGCATGAATTTTGACGACTTGAAGTGAACCACAAAGGAATTATAGTGACAAGTCTGATTAAGTGTTGAAAGGGTTGTTTAAAAAGTTAAGAGCAATAAGAACGATCATAGGCATTATGTGACACCTAGAGGTTGTGCTTAATGCTCCACTTAACTATTTCCATTAAATAAGTTTCGCAGTCAAAACTTCTGGTGCCTAAGAAGCTTAAAACGATTAAATACCGACAATCACCAATCGTGAATTGTTTCCCAAATTTGTTAAGCTTTGTTTACTCGATTAAAACACCCCTGTTTTGAGCAATGCATATGATAGACAAGTGGAAGCAGGTCTCTCTTTCATTTGTATCATTGTGATAGGGGTGGCGGTAGGAGTTAATTATCACTGTGAGGTGGAAAGTAAGACGGAAGTGGATGTGAATTTGACCGCCTCAGCGGCAGCCAATGAGAGTGGAGAAGACGCACGCATCTGATTGGTTAAGGTGGTGGGTCAACTGTCAAACACGGTTTTCCTTTAGCTCCATCCTGTCTCTTCCACCGACTTGAGAAGTCACTTAGAGGAACTTACTAGAGCGATCTGAAGACAGGCCGCAGCATAGCCTAATGGAAGTGAATTAGCAAGGTTGATGGAAGTAAAAAACATAGCTTTGGCGGTGGTGAACGAGATGAAGTGAGGTGAGATGAGATGAGAGATAACATCGCCGCCTCAGTGTTGATGCTGACGAAGGTGGCAACGAAATTGCAAATATGCGCTCAGACTGTGGAGGATCTGCGCCATTAGATGGTGGATCTTTCCTCCTCCTACTCCTCCTCCTTTTTAAATAGATAAAGGAAGTTGGCCAAGTCGTCCGTCTGTCAAACTCACTAGCGCAGTCTCTTGTCTATTTTAGAAACTATTACGTTTTAAGTAGTATGTAGTGCAATTTTCTTAAAACATTCGGCTGTGGAGAAGATGAATACCAACATTAAACACGGCAAATAACAGGCGGATAGACGTGAATTGTGTTGTGTGATGTTGGCTCACCAAAGTGTGTGATGGCTTTTCCTCCCATCCACACCATCTCCAGCTAGCACTTCTTTCTTTGAGGGATTAAGATCACCTATTTTCGCATTTTGCGAAAAGATTTAGTCTAATCTTATTGTAGAGAGTGGAAAACGAGGATTTTCTGGGTCCCTCTTCTTCATAGAGGCATTCCAATTTAAAAACAATTCCCAACGGCTCTGTTGGTTTCTTTGATAGGGCATAGCGACGGCGTGTTTGAAGATGTGTAGAGGTGTGTACAGTGTATTTCTCCCTAACTACTTGTTCAGAAATTTATCTACAGATGCAAATCCACATTCCAACAATCCTTCTGAAAGCCAAAGAAACTAACAAAAGGGACGGGAGGGCGTTATGGCAATCAAAAGTTGTCGACTACACCACTGAGGAAAATCCAATGGTCAGGTTAATTAAAATAAGTGCGTCTTTTGCCTTCTTTCCAATCGTTCATGCATCATTTCATCCATTGTATTTGATTTTTCCTTCTCTCCACACCTAATCCGCCTCAGGCGAGGATCCATTGTCTTGGATCCGTCGTCCCAATTCCTCTACCACCCCACTTCTCGTCTGTCGTTTGTCCAATTTGCCCACTCTCGAGGCCTCCGCCTTGCGCCACATACGTTGACAGCGGAGTCCACTTCCACTCAATGCCTCCAGTTGTTTTGATACTTTGCTCATTTTCTAGCCTGCTTGTCAGGCATTGAGGTTGACAAAGCAAATTTGAATGGACTTGTGACCTCTGCCCCATCTCCAGCCACGTGTCATGTCCTAATTATTAAGGTAAAATAGGCAATCACACATAAATAAATGTGTTTTTTTTTTAGAACACTAAAATAACCTTTTTGGCCTCAAAAATTCCACACCACCAAGTATTACATCACACTGAACGTAGGCGTCATGAACACACACACACCATTTGTACTTTTGCAGTAACAAAGGTGGAACCTCATGCAGCATAAATTATTTCTCGTGTTCCTTCCCTTCCCCTCTCCCTCGTCTCCCTTCAACAAAATAGGCCGCAAAACACGGATTTGCGGTCTCTCGATTGACTTCAAGTCATTCGAGAATCAAATGGGCAGATAGATTTGTTCAGGTCGTACCACTGTTAAACAATTAAAATTATTTAATTTTACATATCTGTGATGGCGATGCTATTGTATGCTTCTT